ATAGATAGATAGATAGATAGATAGATAGATAGATAGATAGATAGATAGATAGATAGATAGATAGATAGATAGAGGGCCCAGGGTGAGTTGAAGATGAAGGGGTGATATCTGGAGAATAAAATTAAGGGGTGAGAGAGGATTATATGGAGAGAAGGAGAAAGGGAGAGGTAGAATGGGCTAAATTATCTCACATGAAACAGAGAAGAAAAGACTTTTGCAGTGAAGGGGAAATGGGGGAAGGTAAGAGGGAATGAGTGAATCTTATTGTTATTGGAAATGGCTTAAGGAGAGAATAACATACACACTCAATTGGGTATGGAAATCTATCTTACCCTGCAAGAAAACAGGGGGGGAAAGGGACAAGAGAGCAGGAGGATGGTAGAGAGGAAGGCAGATTAGGGGAGGGGTAATCAGAATCAAACACTTCTAAGAAGGGACAGGGTTCAAAGAGAGATAGAACAAATGGGAGGTAGGATAGGATTAAGGGAAATATAGTTAGTTTTTCACAACATGACTATTATGGAAGTGTTTTGCATAACTGCACAAGTATAACCTGTATTGACTTGCTTGCCTTCTCAATGCGGGTGGGTGGGGAGGAAGGAAGGGAGAAAATTTTGAACTCAAAGTTTTAAAAACAAAAGTTAAAAAAATTATTTTCACATGCAACTGGGAAATAAGATATACAGGAAATGGGGTATAGAAATCTATCCTGACCTACAGAAAATTGAAGTAGAATGAAATAAGAGAAGGTGGGGAGAGATAGAAGGGAGGGCAGATTAGGAGAAAGGGTATTCAGAATTCATGCCATCTTGGCATGGGGGGAGGGATGAAATGGGTAGAAAATTTTGAACTCAAAATCTTGTGGAAGTGAATGTTGAAAACTAAAAATAAATAAATTAAAAAATAGTAAAAAAGAAAAAAAGAGTTTTTTTCCTCTAGAAACCATGATGTAGTGCATAGTGGAAGAGATTGAATCACCATATGTGGAGTATTACCATCCTACTGTTACCAAAAAACAAAATTGATTAATACCTTACATTTTAACTCCTCTCATTATTGCATTCCTTTATTTAAAATTCAAAACAAGAGTCATCCTGAAGGAATTTACAATTTGTTGGGGCTGGCGGTGGGTAGATCAATATATGACTACAGAATTAAGTACAGTATATATGTCTGTATATTTGTGTGTTTGTGTGTGTGTGTTTGTGTGTAACATATTAACATGAACTCCCATGTATCCAAATGGTGCACAAGGTAAAGGGTCTAACTTCTTTAAAACCTTAATGAGCCTGGCTTTAGTATTATACATGGTGAGGAGAATATTTTCCTATGGACAGCAATAGGATAACTAGTCTAACTATCTTGATTCTATGTTGACAGGAACATGTAGGTGGCTCATGGTCCCATGTATCTTCTTGAGAGCTGAATTTGGGGCTGTAATCCTCTGATCTCATACTTTCCCTTTATTCTCTGAATCATGTAGTAAAGTCCTAGAGATGGTGGCTGCATCAAACGTTCAAGAGAGAAATTATCAGAACCAAGATTAGAAGAAATGAGAGAAGTCCCAGGTGTAAATTTAAAGGCTGCGTAGAAGATTGAATCCCTTAGGAAAAAAAAGTAAGTTCCATGGTACAGTGTGTAAACATGGACATTGTAATTACTGCTCTCTGAAGAGTCTGATTCCAAGGAGAGAAGGTGCTGGATCCTCCCTGTGTTTTCAATGTAGTCCTTGAGGATATCACATACAGAAGAAAACCTTCAGTTTCCTATCACCTGTTGATTATGGTGACACCTCAAGGCACTATTTCCTCCCCTGAATCTGGAGCACTCCCAGGTGAAGTCACAGTCATAACCTGTGATCTTTATAGGTCAAAACATCTCTCAATTCATTCTAGAGGCTGAGGTTTATGCTCTGATTGCTTCAGTAGGAAAGTTAACAGAAGAGAGAGAATCTTTGATCACCCTTATCAGAATTGTTTCTCCTTCAGTATCCAGGGGCTCAAAACCAGTAAAGACCATTACTGAAGTGTCTAGGTAGAAGAAGGGTGAGTATGTAAGACATTCATTTTTGATTTTTAATCCTATTTTGTCTTCTATGCTTTGCCAACCAGGAGATTTGAAGATTTTCTAAAATATCATGCCCCTTATCTTTGTCACTGATTCATATATAGGTCTTTTGGTATAGTCTAGGTGAGAGTGGGGAAGAGAACATGCAAAGATAATGGGGACCTTGGTACCATTAGTCCCTTACCTCCATAGGACAATCTACTCAGAAAAAGGGACTCTGGATCCAGTCTGCAAGCACCTGGGTGGTGCAGTGGATAGAATCCTAGTCTTAAGTCAGGAAGATCTGAGTTCAAATCCAGCTTTAGGCACTTACAAGCTGAGTGACCTTGGGCAATGTCACTTAATCTCAGTTTCCTCAACTATAAACTGAGCATAAGAATAACACGTACTTCCCAGGGTTGTTATGAGGATCAAATGATATAATATTTGTAAAGAATTTAGGGCAGTATCTGATGCATAATAGGTGCTATATCAATGCTCACGTTTGTTATTTTTCTTACTAATAACAACCTTATTGGTAATATTGTTAATAATTAATATAATTAATGTTAATAACACTTTGAGGTACTACTTCATCACCTCTGAAATGGGGAAAAGTAGTTAAAGTTTTTACATGAGGTTGCCAGCATAGGGGATATTATGGTGGATGGGAAAACTGCTGTCATTGTCCTGGTTTCTTATTGCTTTGGAGTCTGAGGAACATCAACTGCTGTTCTGCAGGGGAACTCAGGAATAGTTTTCTACAGTCACCCAGCTCATGGAGACAGTTACTCAGCCCAATCAAAATCCCTGGATAACTTGGGCGTGATAAGAACAGAATCTACATGTTATGGTGATGATGGTTTCCAGACACTTCCAGAATTGTTTCCTTTTCATAACTGGGGAAGAGGGTTTGTTGAACTTATTTTGCTTCGAGCATGACTTTTTCCCTCTCCTCACAGATCCCTCAAGAAGATAATGGTTTTGGAAAATGCCTCTTCAGTGACTGAGTTCATCCTTGCCGGCTTAACAGATCAACCAGAGCTCCAACTACCCCTATTCCTCTTGTTTGTGGGCACCTATGTGGTCACCATAGTGGGAAATTTGGGATTGATCATTTTAATTAGGATGAATTCTCAGCTTCACACTCCTATGTACTACTTCCTCTTCAACTTATCTTTCATAGATCTCTGCTGCTCCTCTGTCTTTACTCCCAAAATGTTGATGAATTTTGTCCTAACAAAAAACATCTCTCATTCAGGGTGTATGGCACAGCTCTATTTCTTCTGTTTTTTTGTTATTTCTGAAATGTATGTGTTGACAATAATGGCTTATGATCGTTACATTGCCATCTGTAATCCTTTGCTGTATAATGTAACCATGTCCAATCAGGTCTGTTCATGGCTGTTGGGTGGGGCATATGTAATGGGGTTTGCTGGTGCGATGGCCCACACTGGATGCATGCTGAGACTGTCCTTCTGTGATGCCAACATCATAAACCATTACATGTGTGATGTACTCCCCCTCCTCCAGCTCTCTTGCACCAGCACTTATGTCAATGAACTGGTGGTTTTCATTGTTGGGGGCACTAATATTATAGTGCCTAGTGTCACTATCTTCACCTCTTATGCTCTTGTCCTGTCCAGTATCCTGAACATCAGCTCCACTGAAGGCAGGTCCAAAGCCTTCAGCACCTGCAGTTCCCACATAATTGCTGTTGCTGTTTTCTTTGGGTCAGCTTCATTCATGTATCTAAAGCCATCCTCATCAGGGTCTGTAGACCAGGACAAAATATCTTCAATCTTTTACACAAATGTGGGGCCCATGCTAAACCCCCTTATTTATAGTCTGAGGAATAAAGACGTTCAGGCTGCCTTCAGGAAAACTTTGAAAGGAAGAATATTTTCCAGAACATAAGCAGGATTTTCATAATGTGAGTTGAATTCAAGGGCCTTAGGTTCTTTTTCTTTTTTTGGTTAATTAAAATTATCTCAGGAAGGAATCTTTATCCAAATTATTTTCTCCCCATTTTCTATTGCCCAACATTCTACCAACATGATTTACTTCCTTAGGTTTAAAGAGGCAGTGGAAAGTGCTGGTTTTAGAATAAGAGGATCACGGTTTTAATCCTGGATGTTTTTTCCTCTCTATAAGGTTGGGCAAGTCCCATAACCTTTGTGGATTTCAGGATTTTCATCTGTAAACCTGGAGGTGCTTGGACTATGTGGCTTCTAAGATCCTTTATGGCTATAAATCTTTGATCTATAACCCTGTCTGAAAATGCAAATACCCCAGGAATCATTCAATAAGTTACATCATAATTGTGGTAGACCTTTCATTCTCTGCCTATTGTTACTGATTAGCAATTCAGGAAGGAAGTACATGAAAGTAGGTTGCTGAAAAAAATAGTAATAAAATGTCCAAATGATGTAGATATAATACATTATTTAGCCCAAGAAAATCAAGCAAATCAAGTATAAATAACCTTATAATACTTTTTATCACTGCACTTTTGCTTTTTTTCCTTTTCAAAATTATTATTAAAATTGGATAGGTGCACAAAAGTATAATTTGTCCTTAAAATGAAAACTCAAAGTAATTTCCTTTCACTTTTTCTCAAACCCAAACTTCTATGCTTTTAGGCACAATTGCTTCTATTAGAATATGATACAGGTGTTTTCTGATTCCCACAGTAGGCATACAATAGGGCTGGTCTGGCTCAGAACAATAAACATTCCTAGTATAGTGTAAATGCAAGTCCATTTACAACTAGGACATGATGAGAAATGGAAAACTAAGAGACACAAATTTTGAGGAAAACATTTTTTGTTTCTGAAAAAAAATTTCTAGTAGAAAATATTCTTATAACAGTTATAATATGAGAGAGATTTGAACAAGTTGTTTTGACTTATAAACCTTTCCTGAGGGAAGTTTCCTTTTTCCATTGTCAAATTGACTGAATCCTTATATTGCAACAGTTCTTTTTATTTTTTTTTTGTTCTATGTCCTATGACATTTATAGGGCAGTTAGGTGGCACAGCAGATAAAATGCTGGTCTTAGAGACAGAAGGGCCTGTGTTAAAATCTTGCTTCAGACACTTACTAGCTGTGTGACCTTGGGCAAGTTGCTTAACCTTTTTTTCCTCAGTTTCATCATCTGTAATAACGACCTGGAGAAGGAAATGGCAAACCTCTCCAGTATCTTTGCTAAGAAAACCCAAATGCAGTCACAGAGAATCAAATGTGAATGATGACTCAACAACTTTATATTTATTATCAGAAGCTGATTGGAAGGGTGGCAGAGACAAAGTAGTGAAAATATGTCTGGCATTTAAAACTCTTTACACTTAGGCCCCTTCCTCCTTTTCCAATTCACTTACATGTTACTCCTCTCCTCACAACCTGAATTAACCATGATGGCCGACTTGTCCCTCTTGTGTGGCAGTCCATCTTTATCTTGATGATTTGCATTGGCTTTCTGATACCTGGAGTATACTCCATTCTCACCCAAAACTCTTACAATATGTGGTTTTCTTCAACTCATTTTGAGTATCTCTTTCCTCATGAATCCATTCCAAATTTCCCTAGCAATTTGTGTCTTTCATCTCAAAGGCATCTTTATCCATTTTGTTTATATATTGTGTATGAACGTACAATTATACATATACCAGGAACCTTCCTTTTCTTTTATTTATGCCAAAATATTTTTCATCTAAACTGCCTTCTTAGATGATTTCTTTAATCTTGTCTAGGAACTTATCCTGAGCAGTTATAGCTTATTTGAATTCTTTCATCTGTCCAGTTAATGAGAGAGAGTAAAATTCATTTTCTCAGGAAATAAATTATCATTTTTTTCTCAGTCCTTTCTTCAGCCATCACAGGTAACCGTTTCTTCAGAATATAGTTTAAATTTTTACTACCTTGAGCCTTCTTCATAAAGTTCTCTTTATATTTCTTTACAAAAGAAGAGATAAAATAGCTCTGAGAAAAACCTTATTTCTCTGTGAATTATCCATAAATTCTTTATAGATCTTCATAGATCAAAGTTAAACCCACAAATTTTCCCTACCTCCATTAGGAAGAAGCCCTGCTACTCAGTTGTGACTGAAACTCCAAACTACCAGTGAAACTGCCCTTTCTGCAACATTTCATTTAAAGATATGGTAACAATATCTGTAGTCTCTGTGGGAGAGCCTAGTCAAACAGGTATGACAGTAATAATATATCAACATGCTAGTATATATAATTAAGTAATGAATAGTTTAGAGATGCATGCTCAAAATATTTTTATTATAGTCATGCAAGAGCAATAAGTTTGGAGACGACTCTATTCAAAAAACAAAGAACCTTAGTTTTAGAACTGGAAGAGACTTTAGATTCCATCTAGTCCAACACTGTCATTCTACAGAGAGGTTATTTACTTGCCAGGGTGAAATAGGTAGTAAGAAGAAGAGTCTATATTTGAAGAGTTGAACAGTATTTGAGGAGCAGTTTATACTTCAAGGTTTTTGTTATTGAAAAGGAGCATTGTGTAGCAGAAAGTGTTGAGATCTCGTCTCAAATCCTAACTCAGATATTTAGTAAACAATTGACATTGGCAAATTTAACTTTTCACAGCCTGAGTTTTGTTATCAACAAAATAGGAATAATAATACTACTTCAAAAGATTGTCTTGAGAATCAACTGATTAAACATAAGAAAAATGTTTGACAAACATTAAAACTCTATATAAGTTCCAGTTATTATTTATCATCATCATCATCATCATCATCATCATCATCACTTCTTGTTCTTGTTCTTCTTTGTTGTTGTTGTTGTTCTTATTGTTGTTGTTGTTCTTCCCTTTGCCAACACTGTCATTGTCATTATCATTATTAAAATTACCTTGATGGAAGGAAGATGAGAGGTAAGAGGGAATTTCCTTGGAAACAAGCTATAAAAGATGCCATACTGATGATTAACTAATCCTAACCCTAACCCTAGATTCCCAAAGGTGTAGTTGCCATTTCTAGAGCTTTGGAAAGTACTCTTCAAACCATAAATTACTATCTAAATGTGAGTCATTATTAATAGGTCATTTTTAGGTCTCTTTAAGGTTTCCAAAATACTGTATATACATCGTCTCATTTGATCCTCACAGAAATGCTGCATGGTAAATACTTCAGATATTGTTCCTACTTAACAGAGAAGAAGCTTAGATGGAGTGCCTATGATCACATGGTTAGTAAGTGTTGAAAGTGGAATTTGTACCTATATCTCTCCTGACTCCAAGGCCAACACTCTTTAGGTCTCTGCCTCTGTTTATTAGGTTCAGATCAAGAGATGTTTACTTCCTATCCTTGTTTCAAGAAAGCACATTTGTCCACCTAATCTCTTATCTAGGGACATGTCAAATGATAGGTAAATCCTGGACCTTTTATGATCATCTCTGCTATTTGTGCTCCAAGTTCTCCATAGCCTTTATTTGTATATAAAACTTCAAGATACTGAGGACAGTCTTGAAAAGCTCTTGGTCTGTGATAAGTTAAGTAATGACCTAAGTAAAGACATATGAACTGACACAGTGTAAAGAGGATCAATTTATGCTATAACATTGTTGTTATATAAATGAACTCTGGTGTTCATGTAAAAATAATAAAAAAGAAGAGGAGATACCACCTGTACCATTTTGAGTACTCTGCTTATAACATCAAAGGAAGGTTTATGTTGACGATATTTGGGGTCTGTCATACAACAGAAGTAATACTTTGGGAGAGAAGGGGGTCTAATGGTAGAAGGGAGAAAAACTGAAATTTCCTTTCTTAAGTACCAGACAAAAATACACAATTGGGTCCCATTCAATTAGTGTACTTTATATCGACTTTCTACTTTATACCTACCTTTTCCAAATCCTTCATAAACTACTAAAAGGATATGGTACTCTATCCATTCTGGTCAGCCTCTTGGACTGACAAGTCTGCAACTATCATGCATAGCAACAATATCATGCATAGAAATAATTCACCTTGGGAAATCTTGTCATCTTTATACAAGTAATAAAATGAAAAAACAAGTTATTTATTGTCCTGGCTGTTGAATGATTCTATTCTATTAACATCTTTGCTTTTCTCATTATTTTGGATTAATTGGAAATGAGCCAGACTTATGAATTCATGCAATTTTATCTGGTCATCTCCCTTAGGAAAAAAGTCATTGATGACCAAGTCTTCAAGAAAGTTGTCAGCAAGCTTTGGAATCCCCTGGAAGTCTTTTACATTGAGACTACCATTTGTTTTCCATTTTCCATTAACTGAGCCAAGGGAAATGGTGATTTGACTGTGGAAATCCCCTTCACCTCTCTCGCATACACACACATGCTTACACACAAACAACACCCCCCCCAAAAAAATTTGAGATCTGAGAACCCATCAGTCCACCAGCTAAGGAGACTCCCAAGGAAGCTGGGATGTATATGGAAGGAAAATATTAGGGGCAGAAAAAGAAAAACACCTCAGAAATGGTTCTGAGGTTGCAATGACTAAGGAAAGACTCAAGAGTGTCAACCAATCAAGAGTGATCAGTGAACCCAGCATGAATCATATTCAATTGTATTTTTGAACTGAGGGGCATAGATAGAGGAGAATTAGGTTAAAGTTTATGCCTATCAACAGGGAAGAATAAACGAAAAATCATTTCTAAAAAGTCCTAAGAGCTAAATAATTTCTGAGATTATAAACAACAACAACAAAAATTAAGACAGTTCCTACTATCAAGGAGCTCACATTTAAAAAAAAATACATTTTCAAGAAGGTGGAGTGAAGTGAACATTTTTGTCAGGCTCTCACAACACAGCCCTCTAAACAACCTAAAAATCATGTCAAACTGAATTCTGAGAAGGAAAACCAAGGAAATGTCACAGTAAGTTATTTTTTTTCCAG